TGTTTACCATTATCATTGAAAGTAAAGAAAATAACACATTTTGGGTTGTCTCCAAAAAAGTAATAGAGCGGAAATCTTCCAATGAGGACACTAATTCTGGTGCCCTGTGGGTACCCAAAGAATACCCTTTATTTGCAGGGATTTCCTCTCACCTGTTTGGCTATGGGACAGGATGGGAAATCACAGAAATGGGACATAGATGGCAAAAAAAATCTGACAAGGGTAATAACCCTCCCTTGGTCTATCCAAAATAAAAAAAAAGTTGTGCCTATAGTTCTACTTTAATGTGTATGGATAAGCTAGGAAAGTGATTATGTGGAGCTAAATTCTTTTTTTTTTTTTTGGCCCACTGTCAGACTGAGTTTGGGAAGTAGCCCTAGTACACAAAAAGCTACTGGCCAAAGTTTAATTTTCTGATCAAATTTTACCAGGCTAGGTGGATAGAGTAGTGGTAGATTCACTAGCAGAATTAGGCCTCTTTCACACTTTGGTGTACTCAAAGCATTACTAAAGCAACATTTTTAGTGTACTCAAAGCATTGCTAAAGCAACATTTTTTTTAAAAAATAAAATAATAAACATGTTATACTACCTGCTCTATGCGATGGTAAGCTACTTGCTAAGGAGGCAGGCACCGTGGGCTCGCTCCTGAGCCAGGCTGTGTGTGTCTATAGACACACACAGCCTGGCTGTGGCATGGCCCCGCGGGACTTGACTTACAGCAGCAGGAGCCAATGGGGAAAGTGGGGAGAATGAAAGGGGGGAAAGAGAGAGTATGAGAGAGTATTTGGGAAGGGGAGGGGGAAAGGTTTTTTTTTTACCCTAAAGAGAGAATGCATTAAGGTAAGAAAAAAAAAACTTTAGCTTTTAGAACCACCTTACACAAAAGGGCTGTATTTCTTGCATGGGATGTACAGATGCTCTGTAAATCCACATGCAGGCAGTCCCATGCAAGTCTATTGGGAAGTGGTGGCGGCACGGATACAGCCGCTGCTCCCAATTCAACATACATAATGGTGTGTGTCCCCAAATACAGACAGTGTGAATTCGGGAACACACACCCGACAAGTGTCAAATTGGAAGCAGCAGCTATGTCCATGCAGCTGTTGCGTCCTAATAGACAAGAATGAGACTATCTGCATGGCCCTTTGCACGCATGTAGGCCTATGCATACCCATGTTAACAAGGCCTAAAATGAACTTACTAATAAATGAAAACCAAACTCCAGCTAACACTTTTTATTTTTTTTTTTTTATTTAAATATTTATTTATTTTTCAAATAAAACAATACACATTTCCATAATGTAAAAATATAACATTACAAAATCTCATAAAACACTAATTTCATATCATTTTCTCCCCCTAACCCCCATCCTTTCCACCCTCCCACCTCCCACCCGCTTCAATATACCCCTGACATCTATCTGATCGACTTGTATCTCACATCCTCTGGATACCGAGGCTTGGAAAAGAAGAAGAAAGAAAGACAGGCTAATTGCTATATTTTCTCCTTTTCCTTGGCCTTTCCTCTTTTCTCTTCCTTTCTTCTTATCCTCTCTTTCCCTTTTCTTTATGTTTACTTACTCACTCAGTACCTTCCTTTACCTTTACTTTGAACTCCTCCCATTTCCCCCATTTCATATGATATGTCACCATCCTATCTTCCTGCATATAATAAAGTTTTTCCATTCTAGCAATCTGGTCCACTCTATTCATCCAATCCTCTTCCCTCGGTACCTCAACCTTACGCCAAAACCTAGGAATCAGACTTTTTGCTGCATTTAAGTAACACATTATACCCAGTTCTTTATATTTATTTCCAGGTAATATTGAGTTATGAAAAAGACAGGTTTCAGGGTCCAGTCCTATCTCTATTCCAGTGATAATCGTGATTTGATTTCTAATTTTTTCCCAATATACTTGTATTTTTGAACATTCCCACCATATGTGATATATCGTGCCCAGCCCTCCACACCCTCGCCTACACCAGGGTTGGTTCTCCTCACTCAACTTGAGCTAACACTTTTTAAACAGTTACAGCAACAGTGTTTCTTTCCTTTTTGAATAAAGTTTTTACATATATAATAAATAAAAGCTGACCATGGCAAGCACCCCTGTCAGTGGTAAGTGATTTGTCTCCATCTAATAACTGTCACTTTTACTGGACAGCTTGGTCAGTTGATTGAAGTTGAAACAATACACTTCCTAGCAGAAACAACAGGTGAAAATAAAGAAAAAATGCCTAAAAATATAAAATAAATGCGGTCACCTTTGGTAAGCTGCAATATAAATGTTTGTTCATAGGTTTATCAGCACTTTAAATGTTTGTGTTGCGATACAGAAGGTTTATAAAGCCGGAGATAGACTCTCTCTAAACTATGCTGTTCAGCATCTGCTACTCTATTGGTTTATCCTGATTACATTTTCCAAGTGTCACACCTGAGTGAGTAATTGTAGCCAATAATTTCATAACATGCACCATTGTCATAAGTGGGCACAACAATAATGCAATAAAGGGAAGGTTTTGAAATGCTAATGTTATAACATTCTTTCAGCGGGTATAAATATGATATTCATGTGTTAATGAAATGTGACAATTCAAGTAATTAATGGTCTAGCAGCAAAAAGCGATGAAATTACATCATTGTTCTTACGCAGAGAACAACACAGACAGTAATAATTCCTGGCTTGAGTTCCTCGCTGCTCCACAGGTTCAGTAAATAATACTAAACCGGATTTATTTGAATAATTTACAGCAGTGCTTGGACACAAGTCAGCCTGGACACTCTCTGCAGGTAAGACGGCTTGTAAATAAAATACAAGGGAGCTATGCCTGTATAATCAAACAATACAGCATCTTAAACCTATGTAGATAAAGCAAACCTGTGCTTTGGCCATTCAGGGCAGGCAACAGGAATGTTCTATACCTCTATTTACTTGTCTTAAAGCTGTATTAATCCCTAAAAATGTTATATATTGCAGCTTACTAATCATTAGATGTGGTGGCTGCATTAGTTTTCTTGTGTTACTGGTCAGTAACACACCTCCGGTATTAGTGAGACAAAGGGTTGTGGATAAGGGAGTACCACCATTCCCCGTGTACGGGCCCAGGACAGCAGGGGGCCCCAGGCAGCTGGGTGAATCAGATATGGACAGTGAGAGAGTGATTGGCACAGCCTGGTGGGCATTTACTGGAACCGATCCCCTGTATGGCTTTTTCTGCAGCAGCTGAAAACTGACTTCTCCTCTCCCTCCCACTGGCTTTCAGCTGCTGCAAAGGGAGCCATACAGGGGATCGGTTCCAGTCATTCACCCCCCGCCGCACCCATTATCTTTCCTGTGCACCATATGTTTCCCTCTGTTGCCCAGGCCCCCCTGCGTGCCTCCACTCTGACAGTGCTGCCGGCTTCCCTCCTCTCCTTTATACCAGCAGCTGCAAGCACACAATAGGATCCTTCAGGATGGAAAGAGTGTCCATTACCTCCACTCAGGTCTCAGATTACACTCCCTGCTCTATGCTGTGTAATGTGTGAAATCAGATCCCCACCCCCTGCCTTCGGGAATTGAGAAAATAATCTTTTGATGTGTGTGTTTAGAACGGCTGTAGAGGACAGAGGGATGAAGATAAACAGGTACATTTTATATAGGAGGATATTTTTCATCTCTGTATATCATCTGAGGCCACTCACTTCAGAGGCTTTATGTAAGGGTTTACAACCACTTTGAAGCTTCAGTTGGTTTCATCTCTTGCATTAATCCCACTATCTATGGACAACCATCGCTGGACTTGTAGCAGAAAAGTGTACAAACCATGTCAACAGCAGTCTAAAGAAAACATTTATTTTCAGCTTCCCATATGCAATTAGACTTGTTTAAAATGTCTTAAAATAACAGAAATAATCTAGTCTTTTTACCTTGTTACATGGCATTTGAGGAAGGAACCTTTCAATAGAACATTCATCTAATAGGCATAATTACCTCTGATAAACATGTACTCATCTCTACAGCACTATGATGTGGACTATTAGCTTCAAGTAGTATAAATAGGACGTGCATTAGTGTACACTTATAACAAATCTAAGCAATTAAAATGAAAATTTAGACCATGTTTTTTTCCACCTTTATAAAATAATTTGGAACATTCTACTGCAGAACATAGAAGAAAATTTGATCCATCGCCAGTAGGGATGACTTTTCCTTAGACCAGCGGTTCTTAAAGGATAAGTTCACCTTTACTGAAAAATAGTTAATGCACATATTTTTTCTGAAAAAAAAGTACATTTGCAGTATTATTTTTTTCTTGCAGAAGATTGGAAAGCATGTTACCCACAATAAGTAGATCAAGGGCTCCTGCAGACATGTCCTCCAGCTTTCAGCCCATACCTCTGTATGGGGTTTCTGTTTGAAAGCCGGTGGACACGTCAGTGGACTACGAGAGCGCTCATTAGCTCACCTGCAGCCCACTGAAGTCCATCTGAAACGGTGTGGCAGGAATCTGTGCATGCAGGAATGTGTGGGTGAAGCTCCACACTGCTGTGCTGTTTTTAAATTGTGACAGCGGTGCGAGGAAAGAAACTTTGGGTGGGGGGGTGGATTGGGGGCAGGAGATTAGCCAACTGCCCTTCCATGTGCACCTTACTGTTAAGGCTGGTTATAGGTTGGGACGGTTGTCATTTTAATTTTTTTTGCCAGTTGGCTAATTTGATTGCCTTTGCTGTCATTTTGCTATAGCTGGTCGTCACATGCATCCCTGTATCTTTAACCACTTGTCTACCAGGCACTTCCACCCCCTTCCTGCCCAGGCCAATTTTCAACTTTCAGCGCTGTCGCACTTTGAATGACAATTGCGCAGTCATGCAACACTGTATTCATATTAAATTTTTTATCATTTTTGTGAGACAGATAGAGCTTTCATTTGGTGGTATTTAATCACCTCTTTTGCTAAACAAACCAAAAACAACTGAACATTTTGAAAAAAATAAGTTTTTTTCTTAGTTTCTGTTATAATATTTTGTAAATGAGTAATTTTTCTCCTTCACTGATGTGCGCTAATGAGGCTGTTGATGGGCACTGATAGGCTGCTCTGATAGGCGGCACTGATGGGCACTGATGAGGAGGCACTGGTAGGTGGCACTGGTGGGCATTGACAGGCATCACTGATGGGCACTGAAAGGCAGTACTCATATATGGCACTGATAGGCAGCACTGACTGGCACTGTTAGGCGGCACTGACTGGCACTGATAGGCAGCTCAGATGGGCACTGATATGTGGCATTGATGTGCACTGGTAGGCACTGATATGTGGCACTGATGTGCACTAATGGGCACTGACAGGTGGCATTGATGGGCACAGACAGGTGGCATTGATGGACACTGACAGATGGTACTGATGGGGCTACACTGATCATCAAGGCACTGATCAGTGCCCTGATGATCAATGCAGATGTCCTCTCTGAGGAAAGCAGATTACTGGCTCTCCTCTCAAGCTGTTAGGCATGACAGCTCGTGAGGAGAGGAATGCAGATAACCGGCATTTCCTTCTTTATATGCGATCAGCTGTGATTGGACATGATAGAGCCGACGTCATTGGCTCTTTCCATTGATCAGTGATCTAACCGCACAGTTACAGTGGAAGGATGTGATATGACATCCTCCCAGAACGAGAGAGAACCACCGCCCATCCTTCATTTCCTTATATGGCGGGGGTGGGAGGTAGTTAAAGAGAGATGGGCTCCTGCCCGTAACCTATCCATTGATATATGTGCTCCTACTATGGAGGCTCTGGAAATTTTAGGGTTAGGTCCACAGTATACAGAGGACCCTTGACGTGGGACTGTGGCTTACGGATGTGTTTGCAAATGTGTGCAAACAAAACCCTCTGTTTTTAATGCAAACTGTTAGGCAGGGACAAATTGGTTGTTTTGCAGGCTGGCTGGTAAGTGCTGCTGGGAAATCCTTTGTTTGTGGGGGCAGGAGATGGAACATGTTACATACATTGTACAAAAATTACGGGTGGAACATGTAACATGTTCCAAAGGTGAACTTATCCTTTAAACTTTGTAACTCAAGGACCCAAATAAAATGTTACCATAGTGGGACCCAAAAAGAGAATGGTCATCACATTATCACAAAGTCACAAAGCCACAAACAACAAATGTATTATGTGCTTCCATGTATGTACAGTTCTTTTTTCCTCATTTGTATAGCAGTACAGTGAAAAGCTAATGTATTGGTAATAAACCAATATTTATCATTCAAAGCAGAATAGGTTATTAAGTGCCATTTCAATCGGCTTGGGAATGATGAGGAACTCCCCTGGGCACCATGAGTAGAACAATGTTGCAGCACATTGTGGCAAAAGTGGATGTGGCCATACTCCACTGACATTAGGAGGGGCTTAGATAGGCATAGTTGCTTAAAACCTGGACTGACTTCTTGTCTGTATAGGATGCATGTGTTACTGTCTTTGTACTCACAATATATGATGTACTACTGTGCCACAACAAACATCTCACATAGACATTGAAGCCTCAGCACAATCATTTCTAAAAACTGAAACTTTATTGCATATGCTTTTCTAAACACATAATGAAAGACAGAGAGCTAACACTTTGTCTGATCAAGTGCACTTTCATATAAAGCCCTGAGTAAGCTTCGACATTAACAACTCTTAGCTTACACAGGTCTGCCCTTTAACTCCCGGAGAGTGAATTGAGCAGATAGGTAATTAAACCAAGGTTAAGTAGATGCATATGTGAAGGTCTGCATTAAGTGAATCTATTGTTTGTGCTGTATGGGCAAAGCACAGTTTGCCTGTAAACAGCTTGAGAAAGAAGCAGAAACACAATGCATGGATTAAATAGACTTAAAGAAGAACTCCAGGTATGGACGTTTTTACATAGTTATATTGGTGTGGCTTAGACCAACATAACTATGCAGATACCATACCTGTGGGATCACTCTAGAAGCTAGACATCATGATTGTACACACTGCTGCTACCATGCTCTATACTAGCTTCCAGGTCCCATGCCGAGTGGCTGCCCTGCTGACTTGTGAACACAGGAGGTTGCCTGTTTGGCACGGTCACCATTCAAAAATCGCTTTGGATTTTCTCAATGAATGCAAAAGCACTCTCTGATTGGAGAAGTGGCATGTGCGCAATAGAAGAACTGTTAGCTAACTCAACGTCTTGAAAAGCTTAATTTAGAGACAAGTCTTTTCCAGCCAACAGTTTGTGCCTAAAATTTGTCAAGTTGCAACCTTTACCTTTCTCTGCTGTCCTTTCCATTCCTTTTATTTTAACCACTTCAAGTCTGGATATTTTTACCTCCTTCCTGTCCAGGCCAATTTTCAGCTTTCAGTGCTATCACAATTTGAATGACAATTGCGCGGTCATGCAACACTGTACCTATATGCACTTTTTTGAGACAGATAAAACTTTATTTTGCTAGTATTTATTTACCACTGGGATTTTTATTTTTTTGCTATATAAATGAAAAAGTCCTAAAATGTTGAAAAAAAAAGTGTTTTTCTTATAAAATTGTGCAAATAAATAATCTTTCTTTATAAATCTTGGCCAAAATTTATTCAGTTATCTTTTTAGTAAAAAAAAAATAACCCAAATTAGATTATAACCAAAAATTATAATTTTACATTTTTTTTACATATTTTTAGTTTATTTTTTTATATTATTTGTTTGTTTTTTTTTTTTTATTAAACATACTGTCACCCTAGCAGTACAGTGTCACCATAGTGACACTGTACTACTTGTGCGGGGTGATGAAGATTTTTTTTTTTTTTTTTTTTTTTTAACACAACGATTCCTTTTGCACCCACAAAGGCTGTAAAAGCAACAATTTCTCTCTCTGACTGCATTCTTGCAGCCATTGAGAAATACTGTGAAAGCTGTGATTAGTCATAGCTTGTCATATGGTACAAGGCTGTTGTGAATAGCCTTGTACCATGTGATCTCTGTGATCATTCACAAATTTCACAAGTAGTAAGCAATGATGTCAGCAAGTGACATTCTGTTTACTACTATTCATGTGATCACTGATTAGCCAATCAGTGATCACATGATCAGGACCTCATACAGAGGTCCCTTACAGCGATCAAACACAGTGTGCACCGGATCGCGGTGCCACGCGCTCCCAGGGAGTGCGCACAGGCTGTAAATGAGGGTGCCGTTTATGAACGGCAACCCGCTCCTGTTCTGCTCCCGTCCGGCCGTTTATGTACATGGGCCAGACAGAAAGTGGTTAAAGAGAAGAACCTGTCAGAACGTCTGTCACCTGGCACAGCCAAGATCCATCTAGTCCTTGAAGTGGTACTAGTTGCAGAGCTGGCAGGTCATTGTATACAATCCTGTCCTAAAACGAAGCCTTGCAATGGCAGTTACCACCGTTGATCTGAGCTTTGCCTACAGCAGCATTGCAAGTCCTGCTATGTTCTCTTTAAATTGCTTAGTGGAGCCGCACACTATGACATATGGGAAGGCACCTGATCGAGGACAATGTTTATACACACAGAAATAATGAACAGCCACATTAATTCTTATTTGTGAATATTATGTGCAACAGTGTTTCCAGATAAGGAGGGAGGCGTTCACACACATATCCCAGTATAACAAATGCATCCCACAGGCCTGAATGGCTCTAAATGCAGCCTGAACAATTTTTACAGTCTGGTCATTGGAAAACAAGCTTGGACGGCAGCCATATTATTATCATAAAAGCTGCAGACAACCAGCACCTTATCACACTATTAAATAACTCATGAACCAAGGGAACTGGGTAGCTAAATAAAAAATGCACAAGCCAACAGATTTACATTCCGTAAATAACTCAAAAGTACCAAAAAGAAATGCTGAATTAGAAATCCGGCACTATTTTACATGACTGCTGCTTTTCTGAGACTGGAAGCAAACCAACACTGTAAATAGAGAATAGAAGAAAACACATGTAACTGCTGTGTGCTATAGATCACCCTATATCCATGCTGTGCATTTACGTCATATTTTGGTATGTACACTGCTGCACCCAACATTGTCTGTAGGTCCGTGATGTTTATTGTGGTTAGATAGGTCTATAGTTGACACACTGGGGTTTACTTACTAAAGCTGCAGAGTGCAAAATCAGGCTCAGTTCTGCATAGAAACAGATCAGTTTCCAGGTTATATTGCCAAAGGTTAATTGTACAAGCTGAGGTTAGAAGCTAATTGGTTTCTATGCAGAACTAAGCCTGATTTAGCACTCTCCAGCATAGTAAATAAACCCCACTCATTCACACCATCCTAACATCACATGCAGAATTAAAAAAAAAAAAGCCTTGTTAATATATTTCACAAATCATTGTAATAAAAGGACCCCTTCCTATCAACCAAATCCGAATATCCAAATACCAGTGTGTCATAAATAGCAAATTACATACCTCTATACACAAATTAGTCCCCTATAATGAAAACACCTAAGCAAAAATACTTTTCATAAATCACACAATAAAGTGAAAATTATTTTGACAGTGCTTAAAGTGTAAAACAAGCAGCAAAAAACACCCTACATAAACGGTGTTACATATGTCACTCAATGTTCACATTGGTTAAATCAGGGCTTAAACGTTCAAGCCCTGAGCTACTAGCCAGGCCTTAGAGTTACTCGCCAGGCCTTAGAGTTACTCGCCGCCAACAAACACACACAAACAGAGACACCTGTACACACACACAGACATTTACATACACACACAGAAACATGTACACACACAGGCACGCACAGACATGCATACACACAGATACATGTACATACAGAGAAATACACATGCACAGACACATGTACATACATACACAGACACATGGAAACACAGACACATGTACATACATACACACAAACACACATGTACATTCACACACACACAGACACATGTACATACACGCAGACAAATGTACAGATACACACATGTACATACACACAGACACATGTACAATTTTGCATGCATACACACACACACAAACACACACAAATCCCCCCCCCCCATAAAAAGTTGCCATACTTCGTTGTTCACTCACAGATCCGGGTACTGCACTCTAGGTGGAGAGAGCACAGCACACACTCCTTCCTTTGCTGTCACTGCGCTCAGCTATTGAGCAGTCTGATGGCTCCCAGTGCCAATGACAGATCCGGCCTGAGCTCCGAGCCTGCCCAGCAAGACGGCCCTGGGGGACACACTCACCCCCACCATAATTTCCACTCGCTATTGGCGAGCAGGTGAGTGGAAATTTCAAGCCCTGGGTTAAACTGTCCTTATATGATGAATGTGTCCACCACAAGCTGACAAAGACTTTTGCTTCCCTTAATCAACCACCTTTGTACCCACACTTGTTAATACAAAGTGCTTACTAGATTGGTTTGACCACCTATTTCTAAGAT